AATATTATTCGGCCTATTCCCTGCTTGTGATCTCTCACAGAATTTTTCGAATTTTCGAGGGGTAAAATCGCTTAAATTATCGAAAAAAAGTGAATATATTTCTCGAAAATTATAACTTTTTATTGATATTCTTGATTCATTTAATTATATTTAATTAACTAATAAAGATATTTTAAAGAAAAGTATATTGTTTAGAAACTCTATTAAAATATTATTATTGGATAATTTCATTTTCTAAAAATATTTATTTTTGATAAAGATATATTAATTTGAAAATATATATCGAAATATCAAAAAATATCGATATAATATAAATTATATTAACTATAACTTTTTTGGATTTTATTCTATAAACTTAATATTTTCTCTATAGATTTGATATTAATAATTTAATCATTCTACCAAATTTTAAGGGATTATATAGAAAACTCAATTAATTATAATTATTTTAATTTTTGCCTATGCCTCTTCAAAGACGCGCCCGAGTATACGCATGACTACATATGCAACTACTGTACTTATGCCATACACAAAGCTACACAACTAGATCGATCCGCCAGCCGAGTTTTTGAATCGATGGAGAAGAAGATGAAGAAGAAGAAGAAGAAGAAATACTAAAGGCGTGAGAATCATCTATCTTCTCTCTTAGTGCTCCGTTTCATATGAGAATTTCCCTTTTCCGCAAGCTTCATGAAATGAAGCATTACATTATTTGTAGGAAACATCCATGTCATGATAACTTAGCACTTAATTCTCAATATCATCCTAGTGCTCCGCCATCTGTATCATGATTGCAACAATAGGCTAGCTAGCTAATAGCAATGCCAATGCCAATGCCAATGCCAAACCACCTACGGATTTCCACGCGCTGCTATCCACCATCCACCATCCCCATAGCCGCTCTCGTAGCCGAAGGACTGAGGACTCAATTCAAGCACATGGGCCATGTGATTGGATTTCTAATTTCTCAGCGGACTCCCACTCGTACTCTCGTAGGCCACTGTGTCAGAAAACCCAAGCTCCTCGATTTCCTAACCAGTTGTGATGTTGTGTTGGCTTTATATGTTACGGAGGTGGGGATGTAGCATAATTGTTGGGAGATATTATGTCTACCAAGCAGGATCTGTATACTCTACAACGCATGGATCCACCGAATCAGAAAGCGATTTATCCCTTGAATTCAAAAAAATCGGAGACGGGAATCGGGATTCCCAAAGATTGGAGATATTATCAAGTCCGTCCCGCCGCTGGTCTACAGTTCCGGAGATATGACGAAAATATGTACGAGGTGTATATTGTGCGAAACCCAAAATTTGAAAGAGGAACAGCTGGCTTGAAACTCTTTCATCATCTAAGGAGGTATGTAATATAATCAATCTCTTCATTCCAAACTTTCAGTACTCGTCTCTATTCCCTGATACCGAACTCTGCTTGGATGTTCCAACTTCTGTGTCCTCTTCTTCTCATACCGTAGTTTGTGTCCTTATTTTAACCCTAGAACCCTTTCTTATTAGGTAATTACTAATTACGCGATGATGTGAAGTTTGCCACTCATGATCTATACTCTCCTCATCTGATCAAACCAGATCTTTTCTCGCCTGCCCGGGTATCAGAGATGCCATTGTAGTCCCTGTCCAGAAGATCGGCTTCGATTATTGCACCACGTGTGTTGCTCTCCTCGTGGAACTCGCTTCCACGGAGTTCCTATATGATGAGCAAAAGAAGGACTTAATTGAAAAACTCTGGCCTAATGTTGCCAAGACGAATATTTATTCTCGTACTGATGCTTTTAATTTTGAAGAAGAATATCTTGTTGGTGGGTCCACGAAAACCGTTGGCTAGGACTGCAAAGGGAAACGTGAGCACAAAGAGGGCTCTTGAGGATTATAGGGAGGATATTGATAAGCTTATGTAGTATTCTAACTTTTCTTGTGGATTATGCATCTTCGTGGCTGTCTCCTTGAGGTGAGAATTAGCGAGACTCTGATATATTGGACTATATGACGGGCTGTGTTGTTCGATAAAAGCTTGGCTATTCAAAATTGAAGAGTTTATCTTAACTTCTCCGTTGAAAATAAACCCCCTTGAGATAGAGATAATGCCATTACGAAGAGTCTGTTGTACAAGTTTTTAAAATCAAAAGGAACGGGGAACAAGATAAGATCAAGGAATGCGAGTCTTGTTGGGAGCTCGTATAGTGTCAATCATGAGGGTGATATGGATGGAAATGGAGAAGTAACTTGCGGTGAATGTAATCTTACAATTGGGACTTGATAAGAGATAGATGCCAATATGTTGATAAATTGAAGGAGAATTGGCGGGAAAAGAGAAAGGTGATGATGACTGAAGTCTAAGCAGTAACTAGTCTGATAGACTTTGGAAAGCGTTGTACATCAAGATATGGAAAGGGTAAGAAAGAGAAGTGAAGAGCGGAACGTATAACCCTGGATAGCATTAGTAGCTTATGAAGAAAATGAACTTATTCGTTCTCATCACCTCCAATGTAGGAATGGATCAAGACCACAGTTTCGACTTCCTCATATGTACTTCCATGAGTACTTCCATGAGATCCTCTCACTTCGTCATCTCCGGGTGGGCCTACTGCCCGGAAAAGATTTAAAATCTAGACGTGCAACAAATCCAGATACAGTCTCCAGCGCATCCTTCTTAGATTCCAGTGTGAGTATTGTCCGGAGATGGTCCAAAATTCAGACGTGCAACGGAATCATCAGAAAACCCAGGCCGCGGAGATTGTTCAGAATCCAGATATGTAACCAATTCAGAATCTCCAGCTCACACTTCCCAGCTCCAGTATACGTGATGCGCGGAGACCCTCCAGAATTCAGACATGCAACAATATCAAAAGGAAGTACATGATTGCCCAGCTCGTGCTCAAGACCTTGCTATGTCTAATCCTAGCAAATGCCTATCTATGTGTCATGACATCTCTGAGCCTCTCTCCTTACTTCCAAAACTTCAGACAGCTCGGAGAAGGTCCAAAACTTAGACGTGCAACAAGATTCCTTTCAAATCATATAAATCCAGATGATTGCCCTGTTCGTACAATGCCCTTGTGGATTTCCGAAGAAGTGTACCTTATCCGAATGCGGTATAGGTCTTACCGAGCGGGCCTATAGGAATGAGATATTTCCGTTCCACCAATTCCATCCTTGCTGAAGGAGGTGAAGGAGGCGATTTTTGAAATGTGTGAAATGATGAGGCGAGGTGCTACATGGTAGGGACAAATCTTCTAGTGGTTCAAGTAGATAGCCTTGTTAAGTAAAGACATAATGCCATATATACTGGCTATTGAAACTTCACCATTAGAATACCTACTCAATGCTATGATGCTTCCATCTGTAACAATGTCTATAGGATGTTATAAGCCATCTGTTTTGAGAGGAACTGTCGATTGTAGGAGTGATTTTGAGAACAATACTAAATTGATGCTATGTAGCTGATTAACTCTGCCGGCCGAAAAATACAAGTGAAGCTTTTAAGAATAGGAAGTCAAATAAGGACTTTTCATACAGTTCATGTATAGTTCATGTTACGACTCATTTTGATAGAACTTGTTTTCATTCTCTCTGGAGTTTTGATGCATGCCAACGCGAGATAAGATAAGATTAAACTAGTATCATAATTCACGTGACTTAAAATTATGGTACCTTGAAAAGTGCTCAGACCACATGTAGCCAAACTGTCGCGTCTCCATCGGAACAACTTCAATTCTAGATCAACAAAAGGTGAACAAATTCAAAAACTCATCAAACAAACCAGCCGGACTGCACTACTTCACTTCTAATTAACTACCACAATTTCGTCCCAAAAACTATCCGACCTGAATTATTGTCACATCTTACCCAAACTAAACTACCATACCATTCGCAAAAATGCCACCCTTTAAGGATGAGCATATCCTCATTATTGCGCCAGGCTCACAAACAACTCTTGCACAACTGGGACTTCCTGAATCTTTCACTCCACCACAACGAAGATTTCCCACTCGTATGTTTCTAGCTCCTGATAAAAAAACCTATGAGCCATACAGAATTCGACCAAAAAAGAAAGATGCTCCAGCCACAGCGAATGTGGATACTGAGATGGGTGGAATCAAAGAAGACAAGGCAGATGGGGAGGAAGATTTAGAAGAGGTTCCTGAGGATGATGGGGGTGCTATTTGGCCATTGAAAGGTTTGTCTGCGTGTTCTCTAGATATTTTCTATATACTGATAGAATGTAGAGGGTCGAATTGAGAACCTTCCAGCTTTCTGCGCTTTCTTACATCATGTTCACAATCAATTGTCACCAACTCTTCACACACCTATTATGTTGATCGCACAGCCTGCATGGACCGCCAAGAACCATGAAGACCTCACTCAATTCATATTCGAGAAGTTCAGAACTCCCGCACTTTGTATCATGGACAGTGCTTTGGCAACTTCATATGCCTTTGGAATTGCAAATTCAACGGTCATTGATGTAGGATTCGAAAAGGTTGACGTTACCGCTGTTACGGACTTTCAAATAACCGGCAGAGGAAACATACCACAATCGGGGGGAGAGGCTATGACATTACGTTTACAAGAGTTACTCAAGTCGAAGGATTTTACAAGGGATATGGCGGAGCAATTGAAAAAGAGTTCAATTTGTGAGATCTTACCTCCAGGGACTCCTCTACCAGGTGGCGAGGAGAATGTAGATGCAGTAAGTAACTCTGTGGTTGCGGCTTCCACTGGTGCACAATCCTCTGGGACAAATGTTAGAGTTACAGAAGCCCCTCAAGGACCTGGATACGATACCGAGGTCGGAGAAGAAGATACGATCAATGGTATCGAGGTTGCAGAGGAAGATGGTGTATTAGACGTCGCCAGTATCGTGGCAAATGGAAAGGCCCAAGAATACCTTGCGAAGATTGAAAGAGAGAAAGCTGGAAAAGCTTCCAAGAAAGCCCAGAAGGACAAAGAGGCAGCGGAGGCAGCAGCAGCAAAGCCGTTGAGACTACCAAATTCGAAGAGACCTCGTGCTACGTTCCACTACGAATCATCACTTCCTGAGCCAGATACAAAGCGCCAAAAGACACCCGAGCCAGTCATCGCGGCGAACCACGAAGGCGCACCATCTCCTATCGAATCGACGAAAATTACCGATTCACCCGCCGACCCCCTCGTTGAGGCTGCAACTAGCACCGATTCAGCTGTTACAGTAGATGGAGCTATAGCTCGTGATCAAGCAAAGACTACACGTAGACAGAAAGCATGGGAGGATGAACACCCGGATCGCATGAGAAGAGATATTGATATTGGTTTAGAACGATTTCAAGCAGCAAGCGAGAGTTATATGGACGCAATCGCGGATACGGTCTATAGAACAATACTCTCCGTTGACGATATTTCTAAACGCCAAGATGCTTGGGACTCTTTGATCATCTGTGGATCAGGATCAAAGGTCAGAGGTTTCAAGGATGCGCTTATTACAACTCTCAATAGCCGATATCTTATTTCACCCAGCTCTGCAACCATTTTCATGAGCGAACTCCCTTCGAACCTAGCAACACCTTCTGGCACAGGTTCCATGACACCAAATGCTTCTTTCTCCTCAACACCACATCCAGTACCCTCAGCCAGTGCAGTAAATCCATTACTTCTTGCAGCCACCACTGCATCTAATCCTGCCCTGAACCCCAACGTGTCGATCGCTTCATTTAACAGCGGGGCAAATGCTCAGCATTCATCACACTCACAATCCCCTACTAGCATCAAGGTCGCCAGTCCTCCAGTCTATTTCCCAGAATGGAAGACTTATGAAGAAGCCGTGTTCTTAGGATCTCAGGTCGCTGCCAAAGTGATTTTCGTTGTAGATCAAGGATTGTCAAAGGGTTTTTTGTCGCGAGTCGATTTTAATGAAGAGGGACCAACTGCTATCCACCAAGTGTAAGTTTCCGTCTGCTTCTATCATGATATAAATGCTATGTACTGATGCAGGATTAGTGGACTTGTGTATTAAAATGTTTGTGGAGAGGGCGTATGTGGTGTTACATTTGGGATAGGAGGAGAGAATGATGCTAGAGTTTACCAACCAAAAGTATACCCACCTTTCATCAAAGTCTGTATTCATATTCGCAGTAGTAAAATGGATCTTTTTTGCCACTATTCACTTTGGATGTTACTTGAGGTGCATATGAAAAGATTATTGATAGTATTATTGTCAACCACTCAATTACTTTTTGACCTTTTTTTCGTTTGCTTTGTTAGCTTGATATGATTGATACTTGCACAAGGCTTTGCTAGAAAACTTATGGATTAATATTTGAATATTGGGTTTAAAGAGAAATGCAAATTGCATCATGGTTGTTTACAAAATCATTATAATTGCCTAATTTGGATTTGATGAGCTTTGAGGGAAGTCACAAGCTAATATAACATAACATTATTACTGGACCATCTCTTTCTTTTTCTTTCCTTTTCTCTTATTTAGCAAAGCTTCCTCCAACTTATATTATCTGTATGGTTATCTAACCCAAAATCCACTAGTTCAGTACGTTTAGAGAGAGCTGCTGTAAAAATCTAGGCAGTTTGAATTGAAGTTAATTTAAATTTCTTCAAATTTGTAACTCCATCCTCTTTATTATCAACAACCACCACCTACCTACCACCCACCTTCCCTTCTTCCCTTCCTACAACTATCTTCTTCTCTCCCTCCAATAAACCACCTTCTGCCTTTCTCATCAATTGGAAGACAGAAATGAATCTCTATTGATGTTGGTTCTTTGATTTTCATCAACCTGAATTTATTGAGCTCTATACTTCCTTTCAACGACATTGTTGATTACAATTTCACCTTTGATAGTACATATTTTCCGCACATCCCAAGATCGACTTCTGAGATCTCACATAACAAGACTTTACTCAACTTTGCACGAAACAAGGCATACTCTTACTTCTACCTTGGAGACTTGTGTGAGTTTTCTTGCTCTCTCACTCTCTCTCTCTCTCTCTCTCTCATTCTCTTGCTGTGTTTGAGGTTTCCTCTCTCTTTGCAATGTCTCTTCTTATTGCACTGCTGGTCTGTTTTAGCTACACTTGTGCCCAGAGTAGATTGATATCGATTCAATGTGATGCACTTCCTCAAAGGCTTAGACTCATGTTTTATCTGTATAAAGATAATAATGTGGCCACGTTCGGTCTCAAGCAACTTAGCCTTGATTCTTCTCAGCTCCGCTAATACTATTCACAGCGTTTAGTTACATTACAATGCCGCTGCCTCGCCCCGCAAGAAAGGCTACGGCCAAGGCCATAAAATCGAAATCGCCTATCAAGAAGAAGATTGTCAAGGCCAATAAGAAAGCTCCCCAGCCAGAGGCAATTAAGACTGTTGTGACGAATCCTGTTGATCGTATTTACAAGACTCTTACTCTTGGCAATGTTGACATCGAGGAGGGTTTGTGGATGGTGCGCAAACTTGGCGATGGTAAATACGAGGCTGTTAATCTCAATACTGTTGCGTTTGAAGATATTTCATCGGAGGAAAATGCCGTGAGAATGACTTCAGCCCCGGAAAACCTCGAAATTTTCAAGGTCAGCCAGAAGTCTTTGAATGACGTTACAGCAAAGTTGGATCGAGCTGTCTTTACTGCAAGTATGTACTTGACCTAAGTTCCAAAAACACACTTCACACAGACAGACTGACGTTGGGTTACAGGTGGAAAAGTCTTCCGATTCATCAAGCTTCCCATCGAGTTGCGATACAAAATTTACGACTTCGCACTGATTTTGCCTTCCGGTTCCACATTATTCCGCTCTCGTTATAGAGGTCGCCATACACCAAGGCTTGCCCTTGGCCTCCTTGCAACTTGCCGCTTCATCAACACAGAATGCATGCCATTCTTGTGGAAGAATACTTATAACATGAGTGCTCCCACCATAAAGGATTTTAAATTCAGCAAACAGACTTTGATTGAGAATGTCCGCCATATTAAATGCGCCTGGTCTGGTTACAGAAGTCAGGATCTACTTGTCTTCGGGATGATCGCTTCTTGTACAAAGCTGGAGACTTTGGAAATCGAATTGACGCCAAACTGTGTAGAAGCTGGCCCATACAACCGTCACAAAGTACAATATCTCCATCAAGAAGACAGCAGCATCCGCAAGTTTAGTAGGTCCAACGGTTTCGACAAGCTCATTAGTCTCCGTGACATAAAAAAGGTCATCGTATCGAGGAGATGGAAGATGGCACTCTCCAGTTTTGTGACCGAAGAAGAATTGAAAACTTTTGAGAAGTTTTTGATAGAGAAGTTGACGACGCCAGTAGCAGTAGTACCACCCATGGTAAGTTCACGTTCATGAGTACACTTGCATCAACTACCTTTCTAACCACATTCTAAGGTCTTCACTCCCCTATCTTCTACTCCAACAAGAAGGTCGACGAGGCTACAGAAGCTCAAGGGTTTCAAACCAATCAAATATGTGCCAGATCTAATTAGCGATGACGAGGAAGGCTTTTGGAACGAGGATGACTACGACGAGGTTGACAGAAACGCTATGTGAGAAAGGGACAGATTGAAACGAGGCATGCCTGGGAATACTTGTTTATGTTATCCGATATGGATTTATGAGGGTTCGATGCGCTGATATCTCGAGGAATTTCAGTTCATGTTTTCTGATATGGAGTTTTGGGGAATTCCTTACAGTGGAGGTCTACAAGCCAATATCGACAAGAATAATATGGTGTAGCAGGAACGTCAACTCCACTAGGTAAGGGGGAGAAATTTTGCAGTTTTTAAGGAAGGATTTCCTATTTGGTCATAGTCAATGTTATGGGAGCGAGCTAGATGGCAATGGCAATGGCACCAATAACGCACAATGTCAATAACTAGCTAGTCAAAAGGGCGAGAAAGCATCAGCCATGTTGCTGAACAGTACCAATAATAAGAGATAGTTACAGAACCTAGCCATCTTCTCCATGACTGATCCATTGATAGATATATACTCGAGTACCGGTATATGTATAGTCTCAAGTCAAAAATCTACCTACTCGTAATAATTAATGACAAGATTAAAACTGACCTAGGTACCTAGGTGATTGATTTTGGGGTATAATAAGTTAGCATGATGAGTCCGTGCGCATCCAACGGATTGAATAGCTTCAAGATTTCTACTCGAGTAGATTCATAAAACCAAACGTTTTCATTTCTATAAACCATATTTCAATAATATTCGTCCCACCACTGTGCCCGATTATAACATACAAAGATGTCAGTTGATGGACAATCGCCACGAAGAGGCTCCACATCCTCAGCCAATACACCAATTCTTCCGCCATTATCAGCATTTGCGCAAAAGCGCGCTCTGGAAGATGATCATCAACCTGCAGTCTCGTCACCACTCAATCCAGAATTCAAGGTCCAAAAGACTGGTGATGAAACACTAGGCGGAGTTCGCGAACGAGCTTCGAGGGCCAAAAAAGAATCGTTGAAGAAGAGGGAGTCAAAAGCTGGATCACTTGCGCCGGAAGGAAGTGCAAGAGGTACACCGGATCCAAAATCAATTTCTTCCAATAAGAAGAAAGCCGCGATCACTTGCATTACTCCTCTACGATACAAGATACCTCCACCGAAAATACCGGATTTTGAAGCTCCCCGTGGACCGACTCTCGTTCCTTCGCACACCAGGGTTGCGCCAGATGGCACTAAAATCCAATTTCACGAGACTACCGATCAGTAAGTTTAACACATGATTTGTAGAAACTCAGGCTTACAAAGACAGCGTGTATAACAAAAAAAACTTTCGATATACTCGCGGCATAGCAGATCCGACTTTTCCTTCGATTCTCTACTATCGACAAACAGAAACGGAACCTTTTGGTGCTCGATTAAGTTTTGAAGATTCAGCTCCTCATATGATGATGGACGAAACAGCGAGACATATTACAACTGACAAGGGGTTTAGAATGGCGAAGGCCAATGTTGGCATAAGGGAAGGTCGATGGTATTGGGAATGCAAGATTACAAGTGGTGTACCGAAGCCTAAACCAGGAGAGCCTGCGCAAGAGTCACATGGACATGTTCGTATGGGATTCGCACGAAGAGAAGCAGCTCAAGATGCACCGGTCGGATTCGATGCCTATAGTTACGGCATCCGGGATGTAGCTGGCCAAAAAGTATGGATGTCTCGGCCCAAAGACTTCTTCCCGGCAGGAGAATCGATACACGAAGGAGACGTTATTGGGCTGGAAATTAACCTGCCTTCCGAGAAGTTACATCAGAAAATCGTCGAAGGAAATTACAACCCAGCAGTTGATCTCACGGATGAATACGATGGTGGAATGGAACGAGCAGATATGATACGAGATCGAGTACCTATTCGCTTCAAAACTCACCTCTATTTCGAACAGATTGAGTATTCCACCTGTAAGGAATTAGAAGAACTCATGAACCCTTCACCAGTCATAACATCGGCCGGGGGTGTCTCATCTGCAAGTCAAGATCCCGGCCCAACTCACCCTGTACCCGCTCTTCGTACTCTCCCGCACTCATCCATCACGGTCTACAAAAATGGAAAGTTAGTCGGAACACCATTTACAGATCTCCTATCTTTCCTCCCACACGCCTCGAAACCACAACCCCAAGTCGGTGCCAGAGAAGGTCTAGATGATGGTATGCTTGGCTATTTCCCCGCCGTATCAGTCTTCCGCGGCGGCGCAGCAGAAGTTAATTTCGGTCCTCAATGGTGGTATCCTCCACCAGGTTCAAGCGCAGAAGACGATGATGTGGACATGGTGAATGATGATGAATCTTCTTCCGCCAAAATCAAAGCAGCCAGCGAGCGATACGATGAACAAATCGTAGAGGACATTCTCTACGATATTATCGACGAAGTCGATTTCTGGATCAGGGATGGAGGCGATAGTGGGAAAGGCAAAAAGAGGGATTTACAATTTGCGAATGGAGGGGCTGCGAATGGTGGGGGGCTGGCTGGTGGTGATGTGGGTGGAGAGATTAAGGAGTTGGTGCAGGATGATGAGTAGGGAGATGAGGCGGCTTTGTGTGTGGTATGTGGTATGTTGGCATAAGGATTTCTTAATTTATGGATATGCATGGATATAGCTACGGGCATGGAAATGGAAATGGAAATGGACATGGATGGCGTTGGCTCTTGGTGCTATGTAATCGAAAATGGGTATACTGGTTTGCTGGGCATATATTTCTTAAATGGCAATTGATGGGTAGGTGTTCGAAATGAAGTTGAGATTGTTGCACGGGAACGGCGAAAGGAAGATAGGGGGCGGGGGAAGGGAGGTTAGATGGATGGCAGAAGCTGGCAGAAGCTGAAGATAGTCATGGCCATGCTCCTAGAACTAATCTGGCTTGCCTGGGTGACTTCAAGTTGTCTTATATATACTTGATCTTCCCTTGTCTAATGGGATCGCTCGTGTTCCAGCCATATATTTGGGAATCTCATCTTTATATATGCTTGTGCCGATGATCTTGAGGTTAACCAATTGTTGTCGTTCGGATTGCTACTCATGCGGCCAGAAAGTCCACAACTCGAATTTGAAAAAGAAAACCCCCCAGGATATTCCTACCATGGTGGAATATATGCTAGCAACCCGAGTTGTGGACTTTCTGGAGGCATACCTAGTAGGTAAGTGCAAATGCACAGATCCCGGTGAGAATCGTTCTATGTTACAGTTATCCGCTTGGAAACGAAACATGAAGTGTTGTTGAATATTGAAATATTAATACCTTATCCGAGTACGGAACAAGGGCAAGAAGGGGGTGAACAAGGTCTTTTAAGCGAAATAAAGGTGGAAATAATACTACCAGCATGTGGCTTACAATGCAGGAACCCAGTTGGGAGTTTCAGGGAAAACCTTAATTGATCTTCAAATCAGTTTGAAATGATATTGACATCAACATCTTACAACCCCCAAAACTCAGTATATCTTGCTTTGTCCCAAGTATTAGCTGTAAAACTATAGCAGCTTCGAGGGGCAAACTGTGCCTTACCTCAGCCTCAAGTGGGGGTGTCCAGAAGATAAAAGCTCGGATAGGATTAAGATCAAGAAGTCTATCCGAGTACTGGTTGATGAAATTCATCACCTCTACCATCAACTTTCCTTTACTGCCTCAATTGAACGTTGTAATAAAGGCCCACGTCTATCCACAAACCTGCCCGTATATATCTTTTATTTTTTGGCATTTCCCCCTTATTAGTTCGGTCCTTACAGACTTTTGGTGTCAATCTACTCGAAAGGGGTCAAAGTCATCCTAACACTCAACTAATCTTGAGATATCAAGATATTCTTTCAGTTGGGTTGATCTTCTATCCTTGGAGTCTCCATTTGACATGGATAGCAAAACACCCAGACACCGTTCGTCTCCGTTGAATACGTATTCTGCTGCATACTTTTAGCAATCAGCTGATTGGAATACAGGAACTGCATGTGATGCATGCAAACGAATGAAGGTAAACATTTCCAAACGTCCCCTTGTTCTTCCACCTATCATATTACTTATGGTTATTAGATCAAATGCGAATGGGATCAAGAAGGAAAATGTAATCGTTGCCATGGACGGGAGATGGACTGCACCGTCACGACTAAGGAGCGGAAAAAGAGAGAGAAAAAGAAGTATGAAGCAATCCAAATTACAGCAACCGCATCTAACTAATGTACAGGGGTAATCATATCTCTCTCTTAGAAGATAGATTGAAGCGTATGGAGCATGTTATGACGAATTCGGGACTTAGCATGGATGCTTCTGGCATTGAGAGACAGCCATCAGAAGAGATAAATGATCAAGCTGCAATGTTTGAAAAATTCTCTTCACTCACTATAAGTAAGACTGGAAGGCAAGAATTTGTGGGCAAGTAAAGTTTTGGATCACGCTCAATAACTCTGTTATTAAACTTTATCAGGTGCCGCTTCTGGGTTTTCTATATTTTCTCCGCAAGGCCTTCAACTTATCAGCAAGATGACTGGAAACGACGAATTTAAAACTTTCAAGGCTGCTACAAAGCATACAAGATTGTACCAATACTCCATATCCCCGTCGTTATGGTATGCGATGCCTGATGAAAGACACAAACCTCTTCCACCCAAGGAAATTGCGGATCAGATTCTGGAATGTAGGTTCATCGACCATTTTTCATCATTACAAAATCATAATTCGTGTTCTCAGTTATCTTTGACAGGCTGATACCTTCATTTCCTCTATTCGACCGAAAGACTTTTATGGAACGGTACTCCCGCCAATATCCGGTCAAATGTTCAGAAGACCCTGCTTGGTACGCCTGCCTCAATGTCTGTTTTGCTCTTGCTTCCATTATACGCAAGGAAAATTTGCCTGGGAATTCACCTCCAAGTGCAAATTCTCATAGACCTGGAGGGCTGGAAAACTTGGCATGGTGGCGATGGCTTCGGAACGCAGCTAGTACCTTTGTTGACTTACAATTCGGACCGCCTTCCCTAACCGCCGTACAGGCAATGACTGGACTAGTAATTCTTACTCAATGTCTTTTCCTGCTTCAAAACGTATTAACGTCATGGTAGGCATTCATTCTAGACACACTCTCAGATCCAAACCCATGCTCTGTCGTATCAGCAGCAACGATTCGACTTGCACAAGCCATTGGACTTCATCGCAACATATGCTATTCTGGCCTTAGTGAGGCTGAAATAGAGCAAAGACGTAACGTCTTTTGGATTGCTGTCATGATTGAACGTGGAGTAGTAATTCGTCACGGTCGTCCATCGGTGATTCATGATGAAGATATAGGGGTTGACTTACCACCTGAAAGCCAATATCCGAAGAACGTCGACGGAAGATTTGTTACATTTCGCCATAATGCCACGTTATCGTTGCTTCACGGTCGAATATACAATAGACTATACTCCGCGAAATCATTTACAAAACCTAAAATGGAGAGATTAAAAATAATTGGAATGCTGGACGATGAACTTCAACAATGGTGTGAGACAATCCCAATTGAAGTTCGGCCAGGTCACCCTTTACAATGCAATGAACATCATATGGTTACAGTCGTTTGTATGCAGTGGGGCTATTACCAGTGTCTTAGTACCATTCATCGAGGGTCATTGTATTACGGCCCAGGATCTCTAGATCCGGATGATGATAGATCTCAAGGCGACTTCGATGCTACATTGAATCCACGTGTATACGCCAGTGTTGCGATCTGTGTTAATGCAGCAAGGAGAACAATCAATTTGCTGGAAGATTGTACAAGACTGTCAAGTCCATTGGAGGGGAATGTTTTACGGCAAGTGAGAAGTATACTCTGTGATTCAACGCACACTAATCTATAGGCTTTAGCATGTCTATTCACTACGCACTGTCAGCATGTGTTACGCTGTTTGCAAATATTCTCCATCATCCTCTTGATCCACAAGCACAATCTGATCTCCGATTGATGAACGATGTAGTATCATTTCTTTCTAGCTTCGAAGATCAAGGTTCGGCTGTCAGCAACCCAGCAGTACCAATATTTCAAGAAATCAATCGTGTCGCTGCAGAGCATGTCAAAAAGGCACAACATACAGCTCCAAAGTATAACAAAAGATCGCGAGCTAAATCCAGTAATATTGAAGACCCGAACACGGATAGCGATGAATCGGATGAAGAAGACTGTAACACGGACGACCCGGTTAGTATTAGGGCGGTTTCTGAGGTAAGAACCGTGATCAATCAATCGTGATGTATTGTCTAAGATGACCATGGAGAACTAATTGTCGTCCAGGTTCAATATTTAAAATCTCCAATATCACTTGCCAACTTTGCAGGAACTCAAGTGTCTTCCTTTCCTCCAGCACAATCACTATCCAATTTTCCGTCGGATATGCAGCCATTTAAATACAGTTCCTTGAGTCATAAGCCACAGAATATTCCCACATCTGTACATCAGACCTACAATACACAGTTAGCGGCACAAGATCCTCATCAATCTCCTCCCTATTACGATATAAATCCTCATACACAACACCACGCAAATTATCCCGGTCTAAATCATCAACAGCCACAAATTCATTCCTCGAATTACTACCGGCAAGATCCGCACCCCCCTTTACGTGGCCCTCACTTAGAACCAGAACCTCAATCTTATCTCTTACACCCTTATATACATACACTTCACCCCGCCACCGACTTTTATTCTCCTCCTTCAGACCAACACCAACACCGGAACATAACTCAAGATCACTCAAATCCAATTACAAATACAATCAGAAATTCTAACCCCAATCTTCAAGATCCAGTAGGTCAAGCGGAAGAATCTTTAATCTCGCAAGATGGAAGTTGGTTTTTCCCAATGATTAGTCCGTGGTCTTTTGGAGATAGGTCTGACATCAATTCAAATGGGATTCATGAGAATATTGTGGGTGAAGGAGAAGGAGGAGAACATGGATGGGGCGGCGTGGGGATATGATGGGGATAATGGGGTGGGGAGAGAATTCAAGTTGGGCGGTTGGGATGGTCATGGGTGATGGGGTTCGAGATTGTGATATCAATACATCATTGGATAGTTCTAAGGTTGAATTAGATTCAGATTCCTTGGTCGAAGTGAAGAGGGGTATGTAGATAGGATATTAGGGATGGATCACTGAGCTCACTATAGCTGTTAAGGTTATGCCTGTATGATTTTGACTGGAAGCGGGGGCGAAGGCGGAACGAGAGTTTAAACTACTTCGAGTATCTGTGCAGAGGGCTAATTTGATCGGACGTATGATCTTCGGATTTAAACCTACTCTGAAAACCGTGTGTCTGGTTAGAATAACGATACATTTCTGTTTTTACAATTTGTGTATAAATTACAATATTACTTTGCTGTAAGGGTCGTCATGATTATTATTGAGAGGGAATGATGCTGGCCCCGTATCCGTGCCCTTATTATTTTAGCTTATTTATATACTGTAGGAGGGCCTCACTCAGCATCAAACAATTAAAGCATCCCTCGTGGCGCAATTGGCTAGCGCGTTCGACTGTTACTTGAAGTTAATCAATCGCAGGTATCGAGAGGTTGGTGGTTCAAGCCCACCCGAGGGAGTTCACTTTTGCTATTTTAAAAACTCTTTTTGCCTTGAGTTGAGTTATACTTGCTGGGTAGGAGGGAGGGGACAAAATGGTTTGATGAGCTTTTTTTGCCCAGAAATCATGTTGGGACCCACACAACTTTATAAAAAGGTGGCTGTGCAAAAGGTGGCTTGAGCGCGAGACATTTGTGGTCGCAGTGTGGCGGTTTCAATTGAGTTGGATTGGATATCCTGGATATACTTCGTACTGAAAAGATGGAGGATTTGAAGATTGTGATAGGCCGATATATGTGCGCGCGCGAAGCAGGGAATGAACTGATCCCTGTTGGGTATGACGTGTGGCTGGAGTTGAATTTCTGGAGCTGATCAGTAAGTGAATAAAGAAAGCATGTGTTGCGCAAAGGAGTTATTAGACCTTGATTGTGGCCATGTTTGTAAATGATATTTGATATTTGATATCCGATATCTTTACTTCAAGTCTTTAACGGTTTTGCGAAATTTCACTCATTTGCAACAAGAATAAAGAAGATACCCATACAATAAGAAGACGAGAAGAATCGACGCAATCATGCTTGAATACTTCACTTATAAGAAAGTCAAGAAACACCAAGCTGATAAAAAAGAACGAGCTTCCAATTCCAACACTCCTCTTGCTTCTCCAAATCTAGGTTCTCTAACTTCTTCTTCACGTCCGCGTCCTTTAATCACGGTCAAAACTCCATCTGCTGAGTTGAGAAGAGGAGGAGCAAGTCCCATTCTTAATGAGGAAGATGAGTACTTCTTGCATAGATTTATAAGTGCGGAGGGAATTCCACCTCCCCTCCCGCAGAGAAAACCTGTGTTACCGCTTAGACCTAGTGAGAGGGGTATTGAGGGATTGGGAATGGAAATGGGGGGTGAGGCGGGGGAGTGGAAGGATAATGAGCTGCAGATGATTCTGAGGGAGGATGGAGATGGAAATGGAAATGGAGAGATGGCTGGAAAGGAGAATGAGCGTAAGGCGCAAGGGAAGGGAAAGGGAAAGGGAAAGGGAAAGGGAAAAGGAAAAGGAAAAGGAAAAGGAAAAGGAAAGATGGGTGATGATGGGGAGAAAGTAGATGAGAATGTCGAGAAAGCTGCGAAGAAATGGAAGAGTTTGAGTTTCTTGCACAAAGGCAAAAAGGCATGTTATTTCCAAATCTCAATTCTGCCATCAACCAACAGCTAACATCTCAATTCCAGGACAAGGAAACCAAAGACAAAAATACCGGTCTCCAACCCGACCCCAACATCTCCGACACCGAAGCTCAACGCGAACAAGACGATCTCACACGAGTCCTCGACGACCTCTCCCTAACCGCCTCCAACAACCGCGCCTTTTCTCTCTCCCCCGACTCCACCGTCCTCGTCCAAAAATTCACCCTCATCCTCAAAGATCTCATAAACGGCGTACCCACCGCCTACGATGACCTCGTCCACTTACTCGAAGATTCCCAAGGAACGCTCTCCAAATCCTACGATTCTCTCCCCTCCTTCCTCCAAAAACTCGTTACCCAACTCCCTTCCAAAATGACCAGCACTCTCGCTCCCGAACTCTTGGCTGTCGCTACCGAAGCCCAGGCACTCGGTGTTGCTAATGCGGCGAGTGCGGCGCAAACGGGCGGCATGGGCGCTGCGGCGAAAGCCCTGTTGACACCTTCGTCGCTCAAGGATCTCGTTACGAAACCTGGGGCTGTGGTGGGTATGTTGAAGGCGATTGTGAATGCGTTGAAATTGAGATGGCCGGCTTTTATGGGCACGAATGTTCTGTTGAGTTTGGCGCTGTTTGTGCTGTTGTTTGTTTTTTGGTATTGTTATAAGAGGGGGAAGGAGGTGAGGTTGGCGAGGGATGGGAGGGTGCTGGGAGAGGGGGAGAGGGATGGACTCACGCCTGGTGAGAGGGGAAGTAGAGGGTCGAGCTGGGAGAGTTCGAGGAGGGAGGGGCAGGGAGGCGGAAGTGGAGATGGTGATGGCTATAAAGCGAGGAGAGATGCGAGGCAGAGGGAGAAAGAAACTAGGAGGGAAGATGAGAGGAGTAGGAGTCGAAGGGGGGAGAAGGAGAGGAAATGATGGGAAGTGATGTGAAAGGGATGAAGCTTGGTTACGATGATATGATGGATACGATGGATACCCCCAATTTAATGATAATGAACTCTACCTTTTTTGTAATTTAGCTAGCTAGCATTTTGGATTGAACAATTGCGAATTCCTTCAATGAAAGTATACACAACAGAACTATCTAGCTAGGTATCTTACTACTCATATTTGTATACATGACATCCCATCCTTATACATAAGCACATTTGTCCCTGGCTAAAACGCCTACAATATACGTTTCTTTATCAATTAGTCAATCAATTAACCATCATGCCAGTATCTCTGCCATTATCCTGCGCGCTTCATGGGAAATGAAATTTGCATGCAAATAGCGTTTCTCTTTTTAGCTCAAGATAGCACGCTCAGCTCAATTCTCTCTCTCTCTCTCTCTCTCTCTCTCAAGTAACCTTGCTGCTTTCACAAAGCTTCAATAGCTCTCAAAAGACAGTCCAGACCTCTCTCACTGATCCCGCTTTCTTCGCTTTCAACCTCTCCCTTTCTCCCCTTCCCCTTAACCCCCGCCTCCCTCAAACACCAGGCTACATCACTCAGTACCCCCAACGGCAAATAAGTTCCCTTCTCCCCCCTCGCCCTCTCCAAACTCTCCCCAAGCCTACTAGTATATTCCCATTCCTTAGCCGCCACCTCCGCTCTATCAACCACTTTGCTAGGGATCCCACACATACTCGCGCAATGCATACCGAAACTACCTTCCGCCACTCCATTCTCTAATTTATACAAAAATAATACGCGTCTGGATTCATTGTCGACTTCGATTGCCATACGCTTATTGATGACTTCAGGGTGGGAATCAAATTCGAGGGCTAGAGAATGGTAATGCGTGGCAAAGAAACCGATACATCCAATATGAGACGCGACGTGATGAAGCACGGCTTGAGCTACAGACACGCCGTCGTAACTACTGGTGCCCCGACCGAGTTCATCGAGGATGACGAGTGAGCGGGGGGTAGCTTCGGATAGAATCTTTTTGGTTTCTGAGAGCTCGACGAAGAAGGTGGATTGGGCAGCGAAGATATTGTCGTTGGCGCCTAGGCGGGACATGATGCGGTCAACGGGAGTGAGTGTTGCGGATTTGGCGGGCACATAACAGCCTAGCTGGGCCATTATTACTGCGACGCAGGTCTGAAGTATAATATTAGCATAATTATTGTGTCTGAAATGGTGAAAGACATACCATTCGTAGTATTGTGGACTTTCCGGCTGCATTAGCACCAGTGAGAAGATTGATATTAGCTGACTTGCCACCGAGCTGGACGTCGTTGGGAATAAAGTCCGTCACATTTGGTAAAACACAAGGATGTCGGAGTTCCTCAAAATCAATCACACTTCGTTCCGAGTCGACGAATTTGGGTCTACAAGACGGGGTACCGAGGGCTGAGGATGCAGCAGCAAGACTGACAAGACAGTCGAGTTGAGCAACGACCTTAACGGCTTGAAGCCATGTCTCGTAATCTTCATCAAAACGTGCGTAGAATCTGCTAGCTACTTCCTTGACGATTTGGCCATGCGTTTCTTGAGTTTCTTGAAGATCTCGGATGATATTGGTGAGTTCAGGAAAGTAGTAACGCTTGAAGCCGGCTGCAGAAGACGTCATCTTCCAATCTTTGGGCACTTTGATCGCGGTTGGGACTTGTAATTGATAAATCTCCTTTCCGATGTTCTTGAACTCGATCTTCTTTGAATCGAATTTCTTCTGATATTGCTTCAATAAGGATGCAAGCTCTTGGTGGATTTCCTCGATACGATCTTGACTGGCATCAAAAGCTTCTTCGACTCCCCTTTCAGGAACGAGTATCTTGTGTTGTTTTGCCTTTTCTCTGTCAAATGCTTTCTTCCACCATTGCAGAGGTTCGGCGAGATCAGGTATCGTCGCAACCAAACGATTGAAGATACCATCACCACCATTATATTTGCCCAGGATCTCCTTTTGAATATACTCGATTTGCTCATATCCCTCTAGTACCTTGAGAAAATCCTCAGGTCTGCATGATCCAGCATGTATGCGAGAAATCAAACGTTCCAAATCAGGCATTGTAGCTGTTGAAGACTTGAATGAATTACTCAACTTATCATCGCTGTTGAGTAATTCCACAGCATCAAGGCGTTCGTTGATCCTCTCAATATCGGACAGAGGATGCGACACCCATTGTCGAAACAATCGCTTTCCAAACGGTGTAGTGCAACGATCGAGAAGTGTGTATAGAGTACCATCTGAATTTCCATCGAATGTATTGGAGAAGATCTCGAGGTTGATAAGAGTCTGGCCATCAAGCACAAGAGTTGTACCTTTTTGGATAGGGCTGTACCATGTGAAGTTGCCTTGTGTGAGAAGGGGTTTCTCAAGCTGAAGCAATTTCAAGTACTGGAAAAGAGCTCCGAAGGCGGATATTAATAAATCGTTATCTCTTGCTTTTTCAAGCTCTTCAGGCCAGATTTCTTTCCCACCATCTACTGAAGTAAAGTATCCGCCGTAGTCTAATTCTCTGCGGGTCACCTCGGCGCTCAGAAATTCCTTTCCAGGTTTCAAATAATTCCAAACAGTTGTTGGGCCAGTGTTGTTTTTTAAAATACGAAGCACCTTGGTCGAAACGCATGACTTTTCGAGTAACAATTCTTGGGGACGGGTTTGAGCGACAAACGTCTCAAACTTGGTCAAATCAACATCATCAGTAAACTCCGTAAGAAAGAATTGACCAGTTGACGTGTCGACAAATGATATACCAAATGCTGGTAACTCATCATCCGTAAAAGATTCTTTGATAGCCACACAGTAGGTTGCCGAATCACCTTGTAAAATACCACCCTCAACCAAGGTACCAGCGGTGAGAATATATGATAGTTCTCGGTGAATGATTTTATCAGGTTTCTTGCCTTTGCTTGAGGGGCCTGCACTATCTTCCCGTTCGCGCATTTCCTTTGCCAACGCTGATTCTTTCTGATCACCAACGGCAACTTTATGTCCTTTGGCAAGGAATTGGCTTGACCAATGCTGTAACGACATTTCCGGTACGCCGACCATTGACATATTAACACGGTCTGTAAGTTTCAAATCGAATGTCTGATGCCCAATAGTAGCATCCCTCTCATATAATTCGTAGAACTTGCCCTTCTTGAAGAAAAGAATGGTGTCCCAGCACTTTTGCTTTATTTCCCAATATTGCTTCTCGAAGGGTGTGAAGTTGCTAAACGCCATTGGAGGAATATACAGCGTACGCGGGTCATGATCAGGATGTCCAGGAGGATTGCGGTCGATGTCCCGTTCATTCGATAGCCACTCATATCGTTGATCTGGGTCGGTTTTGGATGCCTTCTCTTTAAACTTCTTCCCATTTGAATTAGGAGTTCGTGGAATGCTCGAAGGTTTGGACTGCAGGGGCTGAAGGTTTTCCGGGTCGTATTTCCATTGTTGAGCTGTTGAAGCTTCTGGTATTTGCATGTCCTCATCGTCATCAAAGGGATGGGGCGGCGATATGTTGGACCGCTTTCGAGACTCTATTGTGGATGCTGGACGCTTTCTCTTTTTAGAAGATTTGCTTGGACCATCATAATCGTCGTCGACAACGAAATCATCCATTTCATCTATTACTGTGAGCTATTGTGATTAAGAATTCGGCATGGTAGACTCACCATCATCATCATCAGCACCATCTAAACCCCCAACAAATTTATCATCTTCGTCATCGTCACTTTCAATCATTGGCTTTTTTCCCTTTCTTCTTAAAGTGTTTCTCGGAGTTGCAACTTCATCGTCGTCTTCCGATTCGGCATAGCTGACTATCTTCTTCGCCGCCTAATGAATGAATTATTAGCCTACGCTGACGGGCATATACAGGAGAGAAGTATATACCTTTCGTGAAGGGCTGCTTGCTAGAACTAAACTATTGATATCTACAATCTGCTCAGAAACACTTTTAGCAGGTGCCGGAGGCGATGACGAGCAATTGTCTACCTCTGTTGGAATCCCGCCGTTTTCATTTTCTTGTGAGCTTGCTGGTTCAATGTTGTCGCTACTTGGAACTGGAGTTGTGCTCTTTTGAACGGACTTTTTGAACTGGGGTCTCTTCACGGTGCTGTTGGATTTTGGTGTAGACTTTGTACTATTTGCAGAGCCATTGGGTTGTAAGACACCACCGGATGAGTCTGTGGAAGGGTTTGGAGTGGGAGTAGCGGCAGGTTTTTTCGAGAAGAATCCGAGAATTGATGCTTGATTCTTGCTCGATCCTACACTTGAGTTTTGTTTCTTCAGGCTTGGGGGAGGGCGAGCCGGCGTTGTCTCGTTTCCTCCATTTTTTACCATATTGAACTGAAATTATTGCGTCAGGCTATTTAAAAATAAGATAAGCGTCGACGAAAGAAAACACGTATTGAGAAGGGTTTTGTGTTTATGAAATAAAAAAGCAACCCTTTGGATCGCTCAAACTGAAAGCGATAGGGAGAAGACGCGCAACGCGGGTTGGCGCGTCAAACCGCGAAAGTAAGCACGTGCCAACTTTTAATCATCAACTTCCAAATGCCGGTACCTAGGTAGTGTCGAGACAATTATTCACTTGATGATGCTAGTAGTACATCAGGGATTTATTTACTCATGGGCGCAGCGGTTCATCCCTTTGTCCTACACTCGATATCATACTTTGGTCTTCAACCTTTTCTCAAGAACTTTCATCCTTTCGTCTTAGCTTTCTTCGATAAGATTCACCCAAAGTTTCCATGTCAAAGCATCAGTTTGGAATATTCACTACATCTCATATTCACTGATATGCAATCAATCTTTAGTAGGAAGCCAGAATCCAAAGTTTACCTCTGATCAACATGAGAGAGGATATAATCGAATATTAACTCTTCCCACATCACGAGAAAGTTTCATGAAATCGAAAATACATTTGGCTGTCACTCAATGCTTTAGTGGATGTGCACATATAGGTACTGGGCACATCATCGCAGCACTAGGATCGTGGAGACTAATCACAGAGAAAGCTTGTTCCTTGGTTAGGATAGGCCTAGAAGAAATGACATGCACGATAGGCATAGGAAAATGCGATGGATAGATGGATAATTATAAAATTCTTATTCTGTCTAAAATACAACCTGTTCGGACTTCCATCTATTTGATCTTCCTCTCCCTAACCATCAAACTCACCAAGAACGCCAGTCCAGATAACCCCACACTCACCCTATGACTCGCCCCTAAACTCCTCACATAGGCTTCTATTACCTTTATCTTCACATCTCCATGCAAGTCTTTCACGCTCCCTACATCATCCATCACTTTTTCTACCACACTTTCATCCAATCCTAAACCTCCAAGAGCTTTTCCCAAAGCACTGATTTGGACTCCAGCGCACAGGGCAACGCCAACAACCATACCGATACTAGACATTAGATACATGCCTGCGGTTGCCACTCCCATTTCTTTTTTCTGGACAGAAACTGTGAGGGCGATAAAAGTGCAAGCGGCTGTTATTCCGAGACCGAAGCCGCCTGGAAATATAGAGAGAGAGGAGGCGAGAGAAATAGGGTTGCTATGCCATGTTGTGAGAAGGATCGTGTATGAGAAGATGGATGAGAGGGTAGACAGAGTTAGGAGGTATTTGTAATGGCCCGTACTGAAGGTTGTTAGTATGTATGCTAAATTTGCAATGACATCGTAGGAGTGATTGAATGGGCAAGAAACGAACCGAGTGATTAGCCAGCCGGCGAGAAGCCCTCCTACCGTGTTACCAAACACAGCAGGGAAGAGATGAAGTCCTGCCGTAGTATTCGAGCTGCCTTGCGTTACGCGAAAGTAGAGTGGGACGGAATACATCATCTTTGTGAGGTTAGTGACGAGCACATTGCACATAGGAGACATGGAAGATCTTACGCCAACTTGTGCACCAAGCTGCAATGCATTGATAGCATACGATGCTGCTACATCTCGTTGAATTGCGAGAGCGGGCGGGAATACGGGCTCAGCAGCGACTTTGACCTCGTAGGTCACGAATACAGCACCAAACACAACGGACCCTAATAATAGCCCTACGACGGTAGGATGAGACCAAGGTAATGCTTGACCTCCAAGACTGAGTGCGCCAAGAAAAGTTGCAATAGTTCCAGTCAGCATGAAAGCTCCAACAAAATCAATTCGTCGAAGTCTTGAAGGCCCATCTTTGGCCTGAATGGGCTCGTCAGATGACGAGCGAGCTGGAAGTTTGTATGCTACCAGAGCAATAGCGAAAAGCATCAGAGGTCCTTGTCCGATGAATGACCTGCCATTATGTGGTTAGAAATCGAATATAGCCGGATATTGTAATTCAAATTGGAATATATACCAACGCCATCCTATCGTGTCTGCAAGCAATCCGCCCAGGGGGCCACCAATACTCCTCCCAATTGTCCCAACGACATTAACATAACTCCTCCATGCGGCGACATGAATGAGAGGTACAAGATCTGGGTACGTTAGGAAGGGATTGGGAAGACTCAGATATAAGTATTATCACTCACCAACGATCAGAACAGAGACCATGACGCTCATACCCGCACCTCCAGTACCAGCCACTACTCTGCCCATTACAGTTTGCCACATTGTTTGGGAAAGTCCCCTGTCAAAAGATCAGTACGGCCTTTTTTGACCTTCGAAACCACTCACGTTAAAACACATCCAATCACAAAGAATCCATACGAAAACAAAAGAACCGGTTTTCGTCCATATATATCACTAATTTTGCCGGTAAGTGGCTGAACAGCACACATAGCCAAAGAATAGCTAGTCGTTAACCAGCTGGCGTCGCCGAGCGCCCGGAACTCAGAAGCAATGGTGCCATACGTTGCAAGAATAAGCGTGCCATCTGCATATGATATGAAAACACCTGGAAAATGTAAGCACAGAGAAAGTCAATGACGGACATGTGAGAACTTACCAACCAGCAAAAGACTTATTATAATAGCAGCACCCTTTGTGACTTTCCCAGGCGATTCGTCTTCGATCTGAGGATCATTTTGGGCGGATTCTATGTCTGGAAAAGTTGCGATTGACTTATAATCTGGAGTTGAGGCGGCTGTGACTGGCGAGAGTAATGAATCTGTTTCCGAGTACGACTTTATCGAACCCGCATCTCTGGATGAAGCTTGAATCGAACCATCTCTATGAATGGTATCTCTCTCATGCGCTGCCATATTTCAGTGCCCAATGTTATCTTCAACAGTCAATTGTTTCCAAAGTTTCAAGCAGCGACGGTTGTCAAATTTGGCAAGGGATTTCAAAACTGCCCAGTCTGGCCACCAATGTTTTGTTTCGAGGGCATTGACTCAAAGCCACCCGTGCCGTCAGCATGCAGGTCCAGGTTGCCGTTCCTGATTGGGATGAAGATTTGAAAAGCTCATCATTTTGTCTAAAATCCCACCATCCTAGATACTGGATATTTAATCTCGCATATGGCGGCAGGCCCCCTCAAAAACCATGAGGAAACTGTAAGTAGGTTGTAATCTTTATCGCATGGCACTGACGACAGGCTTGAAAAGGCGGAACTCCCCTGTAGAGTGAACCCTGAAGCCCCGCAATTGAATGGTGAAAATAGGCACAGATCTCACGCCATACACTAACTCAAGGCTGCTTTAGCATTTGTATGGCTGGCACAGATTAACTTTGTTACTTTGTAAATCTTCCTTCCTCATTTTCTATGACAGAAATGAATTTGAGACTTCAAAAACAGCGACGACAATGTTTGCCTATGCTCACTCCCGGTACCGGTACAGATGAAAACTGCAAAACTAGGTACTCCATAGTGAAGCGTGGAATGGAATGTGGACCAGTTCAATCATCGCAGATTCAACCGCATCTGATCACATTCAAATGGCTAACTTCATCTCAAAACCATCAATTGGAGCTATCGATGAGTTCTCGTCTGAAATATACTGTACACGAGAATTGAAGACTAAATACGATACTGAGGGAACAGATTTAGCATGAAATCTCCGTTGACGTTTGCTCTAGGACTTGCTACACTTTCTGCTGCCACGCAAGCTCCAATTGGACAGAAGAATGATGGAAGACCAAACATAGTCCTTGTTTTGACAGATGATCAGGATCTGCATATGCAGTCAGTCGATTATATGCCCTTGCTGAAGAAGTATATAATCGATCAAGGAACCTTTTTCAAGCGGCATTATTGTACAACTGCGATATGTTGTCCTTCGAGAGTCACATTATGGACCGGCAGAAATGCCCATAATACAAATGTCACAGATGTAGTGCCTCCTTATGGTCAGTGTTTATTTCTTCTCGGGTAACTTGGAAGCTGATGTACTAGATTAGGTGGATATCAGAAATTCATTGAGCAGGGTTTCAATGATGCCTATCTCCCAGTATGGCTTCAGGATGCTGGGTACAGCACCTTCTATACCGGGAAACTTTTTAATCATCACACTGTGAGTAATTGGAACAGTCCTCATCCTGCTGGATGGACTTCATCCGATTTCCTTCTGGATCCTTTCACATACCAATATTACAATTCCACATTTCAAAGGAATGAGCATCCGCCTGTCAGCCACGAAGGCGAGTATTCAACAGACGTCCTTGCTCAGAAGGCGTATGGATTGCTCGATGAAGGAGTGCAATCCGGAAAACCGTTCTTCGTAGTCGCAGCGCCAATTGCTCCTCATGCAAATGTTGACCCAGCTGCATTCAAGCCTGGGGAGGGCATTCTGATGACTACTCCTCTTCCTGCTGAGAGACACAAACACTTATTTCCTGGCGCAAAAGTTCCCAGAAACGCCAATTTTAATCCAGACAAGGTAAGTCAAGTTTTTATTGAAGAATTTCAAGCTAATTCTGTGATATAGCCAAGCGGAGCCTCATGGGTAAAGCATCTAGATCAGCTCACGGATGAAGTTATAGCGTATAACGACGAATTCTACCGGGCTCGTCTTCAAACCCTCCAAGCGGTGGACGAACTTATTGAAGGTCTTGTCACTCGTCTAACAGGTTATGGCATCCTAGACAATACCTTCTTCTTGTTCTCCACTGATAACGGCTATCATATATCTCAACATCGTCTTGCTCCAGGAAAAGAATGTGGCTTTGAGGAAGACATCAATATTCCTCTCGTCATCCGTGGTCCTGGAGTTCCACAAGGAGAAGAAACAAGTATTGTGACCGCACACACAGATCTTGCTCCTACGATTCTTAAGATTGCAAATGGCGATTGGAAGAGAAAAGACTTGGACGGAAGCGTGATCCCTCTCGATCCACAAGGACTCAAGAATTCCGAGACAACCAGACAGGAACACGTGAATGTCGAGTTCTGGGGACAAGCACTCCCAGAAGGTATTCATGGATTTTCACTGGACGACGGGAAAATGGTCTACTATGGTCTGAATAATACCTACAAAGCTCTACGTATAATCAGCGATAGTCACAACCTCTACTACTCAGTCTGGTGTACCAATGAGCACGAGCTCTACGATCTTACTATCGATCCTTATCAAACCAACAACATTTATCCTTCCTCAATCGATGCCATAAGCCCCTCACCCACGCAAAGCAAGCTCGATATACCAAAGCTCATTCCCCGCCTTGACGCTCTCCTCATGGTCACAAAATCTTGTAAAGGTCACACGTGCGTACAACCCTGGTCAGTATTACACCCGGCTGGAAATGTAAGAACACTCAATGATGCTTTATCTCCTCAATTTGATATCTTCTATGCGGAAGAAATGGCAGAACGGATAGTTAAGTATGATAAGTGCGAATTGGGGTATATCGTAGATAGTGAGGGACCACAGGAAGTGATTGCTTTTGAAGAGGATGGGGCCAAGTGGGAATTGTAGGGCTACCGTTCAACGTAAGCACATCTTGTGCTATGTGTGGTATTATGCTAAATGGATCAGGATATACAAGGTGTTAGAATTTAGAAATAATCGCTCAAAATTAACTCATAATTCATGTGTCTTTTCCCGGGATGTCGTGAAGACTAGACAGTCTAGACTACATCTGACTCTGGTATTTACAGTACTCCCTTCCTATACTTGTCATTGTATGATTCATCCAGCCAAGATCACAACAACAACAACCACCACCACCATCGCCACAACCACGACCATATCCCTCCTGAGCCCCCTGACCTAGGAAGTTGCACAGTCAAGTGATACACCTCTGGTTTAGGCCAATGCCACGGATCCTCATCATTCCAAAACCAAAACCACCCAGGTGTATACCACCAAAGCGCAAGCCCTCCCAGCAGCCAAACCACCCACAGCCCAATCAAGCCACAAAACCACTGTCGCCATATCAAACAATTGGGACAACTACAATAATGACCAGACAAAACAGTTTTCAAACGATCCCTCTTGGCCCTCTCGCGCACAAGCTCAATGTGATCCTCGGAAACCCCCGAAAATGCAAACCACCCTCGAAAAAATAGGGGGCCAGGTACATCGGGTGATTTCTTACCCGTGGGATCGGGCGTGATGCGCGTGGGTAGTCGGTGCCCGCATTTGTAGTGGATTTCGACGAGTATGTCTTTGGAAATTGGGGTTCTGGGACTGGGTACCGAGATCGCGGTGAGGGGGGTGGACCCTGCCAGTTCCAGGTCCAGAATTTAAAAAAGCTGGGGTCAGATCTGGTGTAGGCTCTTGCTTTGGCGAGGTTGAGGGGGCTGGGCTTGGTTTTGGTTCTGGAATTGGTTCTGAGTGGAAGGCGTGCGTTTCCGGCGGGACGGGTGGAGGAGGAGAAGGGGGTTGGCCTGGGGGGTGGTTGGGGGAATAGACGGCGGATTCTCTCTTCTTCTGCTTTTTCTGTTTCGATAGCTCTTCGGGCCCTTTTCTTGCTTAATGCCTTGCGTCTGGTGACGATGTACTTCCCGAGTGCTATTTCTTCTTCGCTTTCAGATTCTGTGTCGGCGGATGGAGTGCTGGATTTTACGGATTCGGGAAATGTTCCTGGAGGTAGAGTGTTTCTTCCTGAGGGTGAAGTGGGCGCCCCTGGGGGTGGAGGGGGTCGAGAAGGTGGAAGAGGTGGTGATATTGCTCCTGAGGGCTGGTGGAACACTTTTGGTAGAGGGGGTGGAGAGACAGATCGTACAGATTCGGGAAATGATCCTGGAGGTGGGATGTTCCATCTTGGGGGTGAAATAGCCGTTTGTAAGGATGAAGCTGCCGCTCTTAGAGGTTGACGAGACAATCTTGGTGGTGAAGCAGGCCTTCCCAAGGATGAAGCGGCCGATCCTCGGGATTGACGAGACACTCTTGGGGATGAAGGAATTGTTCCCAAAGGCATACGATATGTAGACGGAGGTGGAGGATACGATCTTATAGGTGGAGGAGCCGATCGTGAGGATTGAGACAATCGACTCTTTCTTTTCTCCTCCTCCTCCTCCTCTTCCTCTTCAACTGTGGCTTTTTGTTTGTCTTTACCCTTGTCCTTGCGCCTCATTATGGTGATTTCTTCTCGTTTTGGTTTTTCTTTATCTTTACTTTTCTCTGCTAGCTGCTGAGATATCCTGGCTAGGGGACTCGTTCGTTCTTTCGAAGACCCTGATCCTTCCGATTTATGCTCTGTTGAAGTCAATTGTGTAGAAGTCGGTTGCTTTGAAGTCTTTTCTGTCGAAGCCATTCCCGACGACATCTTTTCCGTCGACATATCTTCCCCCAAACTCCCCTTCATCCAAGTCCCCTTCCTCAAACCCCCAATAGTTTCAGGCACCCCTTCGTCACCTCCCACTGAACTCTTTCCCATCGAACTCTGTCCCTCGCTCTCCGACGATTTAACCCACGACGTCTGCTCAATCCCCTTTTCAATTCGTTCTTGATAATCTCTAAATACACCTGACGATGTAGGACTAGCTGGTTCTGGACTGCCTGTTTGTTGTGCTTTCTTGGATGAGGGGCGCATTCCTAGTGTACTCATGTTGTGGGGTGATGTGTTGTGATGTGATATGATGGCGTTCGCGAGAAATTGGGAGTTTGAAATTTGTGAGTGTGAGTGTGATTGTGAGTATGCTGTGCTATACTGTGCTGTGATATACAGTATCTTGATATATATCAATCAACAATCGTAACTGTGATGACACCAGAGAGGAGAGCTTGATATGATATCAAAATAATGAGATATGGAAACTTCTCTTCTCTTCTCTTCTC